GGGTGAGTAACAGTCGGTTGGTTCTAGAGACAGTACCTGAACAGGAAAGAGCAGTAAAAATCAAGGATTTAGACTTGGACCAAGACAAGTTGCCAATGGAAAGAGCATTAGGACTCGGATGGTGCATTGAATCGGATCAGTTTGTGTTCAAGATCTTGATAAAAGACAAACCAGCAACCAGAAGGGCATTCTTTCCATTACCAGTTCAGTCTATGACCCAATGGGCTTTGTAGCTCCAGTTATCTTACCAGCTAAACAATTATTGCAGGACTTATGCAGGATAAAATGTGGTTGGGATGATGCAATTCCAGACAAGTATCTCTCGTGCTGGAAGAAATGGCTTGTAGAATTGCCACAACTGGAGTACACTTCATTTGACAGATGCATGAAGCCAAATTGGTTTGGAAGGGTTGTTATTTCACAGCTTCACCATTTCTGTGATCTTGAGTGAAACTGGGTATGGAGTAGTGACCTATTTGAGACTTGTCAGTGAAACAGGAGACATTCATTGTTCATTTATATTGAGCAAGTCCAGAGTAGCCCTCTCAAGCAAATAACCATTCCACGGATGGAGTTAACTGCAGCTACAGTGGCAATTCGAGTTGATAATCTGCTCAAAAAGAGAACTGGAGATTGCTATTGATGACAGTTTTATTGGACAGACAGTATGTCTGTAATAAGATACATTGAGAATGTCAACTCAAGATTTCACACTTTTGTAGCAAACAGACTTTCAGTTATCCATGATGGCTCATCTCCACAGCAGTGGCATTATATTGACTTCGAAGCTAAACCCAGCTGATGATGCTTCACGGGGGACTCTCGGTGAAAGATTTCATGAAGAGTGACCCGATGGAAAAGTGGTCCTGAATTCTTGTGGCATCAGCAAGATGAATGGCCAGTGGTTGTTGTGAACCGTGAGATTCCAGGCAACGATTCAGAAGTGAAATGGAAAACTGTAAATACAGTAAAACTCACAGATGCTAGCGACACAGTTATGACATTGTTTCATCATTTCTCACAGTGGTACAGACTGAAGCGTGCAGTGGCATGGATTTTACACAGTGAGGAGAAACTTGAGGGACAAAGTCAAGGGAACAATACAGATCTGCAACAGAAGCGTTCAGACATTGAATTAACATTGCAGGACATGGTTGATGCAGAGACTTCAATTGTTCAGTTTGTACAGAGACTTGCATTTGCACATGAAATTCACATCATTGAGAACTCTAAGGCTGGACTTTGTAAGTCAAGTAAGCTATATAAGCTTGATCCCATTGTAGAAGATAACCTGTTGAAGGTTGGTGGGCGGCTTGACAGAGCATGTATGTCTGAACATACCAAACATCCAGTGATACTGCCTAAAGACAGCAATATTTCAGAGATGATAGTTAGGAATATTCATGAATCTTCAGGGCATGTTGGCAGGAATCATGTATTGTACAAGTTACTCAGTAAGTACTGGATTCTTGGAGCTACCTCTTTAATCAAGAGAGTGATACACAGATGTGTTACATGTAGAAGACATCATGCTGGTGTTCTGGAACAGAAGATGGCTGATCTTCCCAGAGATCGTGTTACCCCAAATGATCCTCCATTTACATTTGTAGGAGCCGGATTATTTTGGTCCCTTTGAAGTTAAAGCGTGGTGGAGTGCCTTGGTCAAAAGGTATGGAGTAATTTTCACCTGTTTGACTACACGTGCAGTTCATATCGAGGTTCTTTTCTCGCTTGATACCAGTTCATGTATCAACGCCTTGAGAAGATTTGTAGCAAGGAGAGGTCAGATTCAGCAAATCAGGTCAGATAATGGTACCAATCTGAAGGCACAGAGAGGGAACTTCGGGAGGCAATAAAGCATTGGAATCAATCTACCATTAAGAGAAGTATGATACAGAAGAATGTTGAATGGATATTCAATCCCCTACTGGATCACATCATGGCGGAATCTGGGAGCGACAGATGCATTAGTGTCCGGAAGATACTTTTTTCAGTTCTCAAGGATCAGCCTGTAGGTGATGAGGAATTACACACAGTGCTGTGTGAAGTAGAAGCCATAGTTAACAGTCGGCCAATTTCAAGAGTTCCGGATGATCCAAGTGATTTAGATCGTTGACACCAAATCACCTGCTATTGTTAAAAGGTAAGCCCGAACCTACCTCCTGGAATATTTTCTGAGGCGATCGCGTACCACGTCGTCGATGGAGACAAATCAATACTTAGCAGATCTCTTTTGGAAGAGGTGGTCTCGAGAGTATCTTCACGTCGTTACAGGTATGCGACAAAAGTGGTCAAAGCTCCGCCGCCAATATTCATGTTGGAGATGTAGTTCTCATCGTCGATGAAGCAGCACCTAGAAATTCATGGCTTATGGCAAAAATTGAGAAAGTTTATCCTGATCACAAAGGGTTTGTGCTTGCAGTGTTGAAGTCAAAACAAAGTCAGGTGTTTTGAACAGACCAATTTCAAAGTTGTGTTTACTGCTTGAAGGTGAATGTTGACAATGTCAGTTTTCAGTTCTACTGCTGAGCTAGTGTGACAATATCAGTTTTCAGTTCTACTGCTGAGCTAGTGTAGAGAAGTGTACATTTGATAATTTACTTAACCAGTGGATATTTTAGGTTTATTATGCAACCATAATGTGTGTATGTATGAGTGTGTATGTGAGTGATTCACATTCTCAGAGCTATTTGATGCAGTTATAAAGTTATGTTCAGTTTAAATGTATCAGTTTATGGGAAACTGAATATGTTTCAGATCGTTGGGCCTTAGAGTATATTAGTATTGTAATTGTTACTTGTAACAATTAAGGGGCCGGAATGTTGCGGTCAAATGCTTGAGCTATATTTAGATTGAGATCATGTGATCTAGGGTAAGTCACATGACTGTAAACAGGGGAGATAACTTGGGAAGAGGAGCATGCAATGTACAGTTTCAGTGTGGAGTTCAGTGTTGCAATACGGTTTTTCAACCGGCAACAGCAGAAGTAACAGAAAACAGTGTACACAGATAAAACACAGAATAAAGTTTGCTGTGTTGGAACCGTGGGAGTTGTTAATATATATGTACAGACATTTGCAGCGGTGACAGTCACGTACCCATGCCAGTTCTTGGTGAGCCCAAGGACAATGGGTGGGCAGTAGATGTGAATGGTTCTTTGGAACCTGTGATGTTCTCATAGGAGATAGCTCCAACTGAACTGAGAAATCTCACACACTTGTATTGCACAGACAACGACTGTAGTGTTGGGAAGAAGTGTCAGTGTCTCCATTCAGGCCTCAAATGCACAGAATTTTGTAAATGTGGAGGACAGGATTGTCAGAACACTATTTTTTCCACATTCTCTGACAGTGATGGAGATGAAGAATGTGACTAACACTGATCATACTACACAGAAGTTTTAAACATGACGGTTGTTGGCATATGTGATAGTCTGGATCTTACCCACAAAGTAGGTTCAAATGTGAATAACTCTTTCTATGGATATGTGAACAAATAGATAAACTTGTAGTTACATATTTTGTAGAAACTATTAGATATCTTGACGAGTGTGATAATGTGATATTAACATAGAGGTACATTTAAGTCGTGCTCAATGTATCATGAAAACAGGTGCTTGATGGGGACAACCCCTTTTACTATTAGGTTGTTATCAAATCCGATACTGTTGTCATACAAAACATACAAATTGCTTTTTCCCTTGACAGATCATAGTACAACTTACCTAATATGTATATGGGGGTAATCAAACAAAAGATGTATTGGCTACTTACCCCAAATTGAAGTGTCCATAAAATATTCGTGTTTTTTTTTCTGTAATATGTCCCAATTAAAATCAGATAAATTAACAAGTTTATTACAACTATTCTCAGTTTTATTGATGGTTTTGTAAAGCTGAAGTCTTAAACAATCTAATGGACACAACCTTACTCTTGTTTTTGTCATTTTATTCTTTCAGTGAATTTTGAAAACACATGAATTTGCAATTTTGGCTAAAATTTCATTTTTGGTGAACCAAATACAACCATTACAATTTTTTTCAAAATACATATCTATGTTGTGAAAAAAAGGCCACACTATGTCCTTTAATTTGCAATCAGTTTTGTTGAAATATATGATATATTTCAGAAGTTATCACACATTTCGTGAAAATGTGTGTTTGTGTAAATTTTCATGTGTTGCTATGGCAACATGTTGGTTACCATGTGCCATACCTATTTTGTGCGACCACAACCTTACTTTTCATGAAGGGTAGATATGTACCATGATATAAATTTAGGTTGTGGCTTGTTATACCTCCGGTTGGGGTTCATCTCTCTGACGAGTCAGAAACCACTAGTCTATTATAGATGGACAGGTGCGGGTTCTCTCTATTGGGAAGCCAGCAAATGAAACATCATTTGGCGATCTCACAGATCAATCTTTCGATCGGAAGGCAGAGATGTTCCACTTCCCCACTGCTGGACCAACTTCAGAGCACTTCCTAACAACAAAGCTGACCTTGCTTGCTTCTTGTCTGAAGACTTACTGACAAATGCTCCACATAATAAAAAGAAAGCAGTCAAGTCCTCAAAGTCCAGTATAAACATGGATCAACTCATGAGTAGGCCGAGACACGGCTCATCCATCATCAACATCACTTCAGGAACGGTCATAGTGGCTGCCAGAGATACAGATGCTTCTCCTGGCAAACTTTCCATCTCTCAAAGCTGACAACATCTGGATGCTGACAGGAACTGCCCAGAAAAGAAAGTACATTCCAGTTGGTAAAGTTGGTACTTATGTGGTCATACCAAGAGGTCAGCCTGGAAGGTCTTTCTCAACTATCATCATCTCCTAAAGGATTTGGGCACTGAAAACCTGAACCAAGACAAAACCAGGGTCCCGTTCCTCAGAGCGATCGTAGCGCTACGACTGTCGTAAGTCTATGTTAAAGTATGGGAGTTACGATCACCTTAGCGCTACGATCGCTTTGAGGAACGGGGCCCAGATCCGCTGAAGGGTTTGTGTGCAACTTATACAGTGTTTATAATGTTCAAAGTGTGAACACGGTGCATAAGATTTTTGTTGAGAAATCATGAAAACCTGAGTTGATGCCAGCGACAAGTGATGCCCTATGCCACAACATCCAGTGTGTCCATTACCAAACCATGATCTGGAGGAAAGCCTGTGAATCTATTCCATCACGCCCCGAATTCACAGAGATGCGTTGGACAAGAGCAAACAAAGGTCTATAACCCCTAGTGATGTCTTTGGATGCCATTCCTGAAACCTGTCGTGCACTTATTACATGAACATGTCAAACAAAATGTCAAACAATGCGCTGCAAATGGCAGAGATCAAATCTTCCTTGCACTACTGTGTGTGACTGCTGGAGGCCTGGTGATGAGGAAAGTTGTTTCAATGACAATTCTAATGTGCAGTAAAGTTTATTGATGAAGTGTCATGGATCAAAGTCAAGTCACAAAGATGGTTATTTAATGGATCTTTGAATATTAAGTGATGTTGAATTCCAGTCTAAGTAAACTTAGGCTCAGTATTTTTCGTTACACTGCTATACTGAGTCTAACAAACCCTTATGGAAGGTCGCATCAGATGACCTTTGAGTGACCTATGACCGTCCAATCAAAAGCGAGACGGCCGAAGAGATTTCACCAATCAGACAATGGCTACTATTTTGCGTTCGACGGGACTTACAAAATGGCGACGCAAGATGAAATTGACAGTGCGCTCGGAAAAGTTCTTCCGCATTTCGGTGTAAAAGAGATGAAAAAGCAACAGAAAGAAATTTTTAATTGTTTGCTGGCGGATAGAGACTGTGTTGCCACACTACCAACTGGATTTGGCAAGTCACTTGCTTTTCAAACTTACATTCCTGTTCTTCGCGTGTTGGATTCTACACATACAGGCTAGATGACGTTTGCTGTCCGCTCGTGTCACTAATGCACAATCAAGTAGATAAACTCTCCTCCATTCTGGGCATTGCTGCAGCGTACAGAGGTATGAAAATTTGTGTTAATCTTAAGAGCCTAATATGTAATGAATTTGAATTATATGTACTTATTATAGGCCTATTTTATTTTGAAAATGACACTACTGTTCCTGTTATTAACTTAATTTCTTAATTAATTTCATGTACATGAGACGTCAGTAAAAATATTTGGTACTAAATACTTATGGAAAGCTTACCTTTTGCTGCCAATTACAGTAATTTTGATTATATTTTTTGACACCGCACAACTTTTATCATTATTAGATCTACAACTGTCATTTTGAATACACAATTTTAGACAGTATGATTTAGTTCCAATACTCTAACCTCCATTTCTGAATGTTTGTATACATGGTTCAGTGTTTGTAATAACCACTTGAATCACCTGTGGAAACATCTCACACGAGAAAGTCAAACTAATATCATAATTCTTATAATTCAGCTTGTTCATCTTTCTAGGTTTCAGTGAGTCAAGTGACAAACTTATTCAAGAGGGATCAGTAGATATCATCTATGCCTCTCCAGAGACACTTGTTGGTGACCCACTTTGGAGAACAGCACTACAAAAGCTCAAAGTTGATGTGATTGTCATCGATGAGTTCCACACAATTGCAACATGGTATGTCTCATCAAAAGACTAAAATGTCAACAATATCATCTATACAGCTTTAAGTTTCTTCATACTTGATAGAACCATTTTATCACAAAAGTCAGGTACATTTTTATTAAGGGTGGACACATTTGTTAATGTTTTTGCAGTTTTAGACCAGCCTGACATTTAATGAACAATTAATTGAAAATTTGTTCAAGTAACTGTTAAGATTTACAACTTGTTTCAGGGGACATGGGAGTGATGGTACCGAAAAAGAAGCTTTCAGGAAATGGTTTGCTCACATTGGGGAACGGCGATCATTGTTTCCTGATGCATGCATACTAGCACTAAGTGCCACATGCACAACAAAAATTAGAAAACGTGTAGTGAAAGTGCTGTCCTTGAAAATACAGATGTCATAAACATGTCTCCAAACAAGACCAACGTTAAACTTGTTGTAGCTAAAGTGCCCAACACTGTTGAAATTGCCATGTCTTGGCATGTGGACGGTTTAAGAGATTTAAAGAATCATTTTCCTAGAACTGTTATGTACTGGCAGACTATCAGGGATGTAACAAGAATGTATACCTACATTACTGAAGAGCAGCCAAATCTTGTGAAGCAAGTGGACTTATGTTTCATTCACATACACCGCAGGATAAAAAGATGGAAATTTTACAGGGCTTGAAAGATACTAAGTTCACTAAGGTTGGTGGTGTGTACAAGTGCGCTTGGCATGGGTGTTGACATAGCAGGTTTTGACAGTGTTATAATATACGGAAATCCTGGTAACACAGTTGATCTTGTACAGGAAATAGGTCGAGTTGGACGAGGAGGTGACATGGCCATTGCATTGTTGTTGTCGTTTCACTTGAGAAAGTCTGACACTGAAGTAAGAAATGTGTACCAGTTAACAGAATGCAGAAGAATGTCTCTCATGACATCATTTCTCACAGTAAAACAGTTGGATGAACTAAAACCTGAAACCGGCTGTCATAGTTGTTGTGACATCTGTGCTGAAACGTGTTCATGTTGAAACTAGAAGAACTGTTTGCAGGAGTGAAGCCTGTTCTATCAGACTCTTCAAACAGTGCCAGTACAGATTTATATTACACATCCGATTCCGGTGGTGAATCAGATTTTTAGCGGAAATATGTTTGATGTAAATAATTAACTGCAGCAAGTATTTTCATTTACATTCAGTACCTGTCTGGAATTTATGATATCACAACAACAATCTTGTGTTGATTTCATTTAATGATTTGTGTCTAAAGGAGTTGGAAAAGCAATGGAAATGAAAAAAGTATTTTTAATAGACAGTGCAACCTTGATATAATGCCATGTTTATGCTAGAACAGATTTTCTGCCCTTATTAATATGTATTTTGCATTTATGTGCAAGTGTACATGTGCTATGCAACTGAAAAATAAAGAATAATCAACAAAGACATGCCATATTTTCTCCTGGAAAAATGGTGGCATTATAACTAGGGTATACCGTACTAAAATCAGGGGAAAAAAGATTCAGCAGTGTTTGAGAAATAAATACTTTTATTAAAACATATAGTCTTGCAATCTACTGGTATGTTTGCAGATTTACACAGGATTATTGTCCATGTAAATGTCAGGATGTTTGAGCAAGGAGATTAAAATATTACCATCCAAATGATTTACCTCTCTTTATTCTATAACATAGTTTTAGAAATAATAACTTAATCTAAACTGAAGAGTTACTGGTTTTAATTTGAGTATATCGAGATGGTGATTGTGATTAACAGTTACTCTAAAGATACATACACACCTGTTGGAAGTTACAATCAAGCTTTTAACTTTCTATTGCAATAAACATTTGGACATGCAGTTAATATTGCATTATATATTCTGGCACAAACAGGCTTATCAGAGTGTTCAACATTATTTTGATGTTGAGTGTAATGCTTTGGACATCAGTGAACATTGTGTGAACTTGAATAACAAGTCAAAAGTGAGCACAGATCACATACCCCCAGTGATTGAGTATCATAGCTTGTTTCACAATCAAATATGCTTGTTGCGGAGACGTGCAAAGGGGACAGTTAGTTTGTGACGATGTATCATGGTAGACAGATTTGATTCACTGTTGGCAAATGGATTCCTGTCTTTACACAGATCCTTGCAGTGGAGTGAACATCCAGGTTTCGTTGTGAGCACATCTAATTGTCTCAGTTCACTCAGTACCTTGTGTACATCAGCACCATAGTTTGGCAAGTGATGAAATCCCGTCCTCTGTTTCAGATTGCAAATGTCTTCAAAATTCCGCACAGACTGGGTAAGATGTGGGTACTCTTTGGAATGCTGAATGATACTCTCTTCGGTCTTGTGACCGGAACATGCAATTTTGCTGTCACAATTCAGCATTTCCAAGTACTCATCAAGAGCAATGTTGTTGTTTTTGCCCCCTTGCACATTCACAAATCGATTAGCGACTATGCGCTCTGTTTGTCCTGCTGGCAAAGTGCCTGAAGTGAGGTCAGTTAAATGTACAGAACCGATAACATATTTCACCTTGTTGGTCTTGTTGTACAGGGGTAGCTCGTACTTTGCTGATCGAACAGATCGACAACCATCAGCCATGTCAACAGCTTGGTCTAGTTCTTGTGAAGCATTGTCAGCTTAAACAGCATCAAAAGATGGTCTTTCAACTGATCTGATTTCTTTCCCTTCTTACCCTTTCCCCTGCTGACAGGTTAGTAAAATTGTCAGGAAAGCTTATCTTGGCGTCAGGGTCATCCAAATCCAAATGGTGCAAGAACAGCTGCAAGCATATTGCATTCAAGATGATGTAGTACAATATTTTAAAGGGTCGATAAGCATTTTTCACATCTCCCTTTACATTTCTCATGTTCAGCAGGTTCCTGAAGAAATACACAGTTCCCTTGTCATTTCCACTTTTTGTGCTGTATCTCATCTTGTGTATTGCCTGAAGAAGGAAACATTTAGTATTTAATAATATTTCTTAGCATGCTTAAAACAACATAAGGAAATTATATCAGCAAGTTAACATGTAAAAGATGAATGCAGTCTTTATGAAGAATAGTTAGTTCCTGTCTTATAAGTTTTATCAAAAGAATTTTCAGTCATTAATCAAGGTTCCACTCCTCAGAATTAGAATTATGAAAGTCCATCATATTATTACCTCGAGTAAATTCATCAGTCTGTGAAAATCCTCTATCTTTGAGATGAATCCTTCAAGTCTATCTTTCAGTGTTAATCCATTTCCTACAGACTGCTGAGTGCACTGAACCCTTTCATCAGTAAGTCTGTCACCTGAAATGAATAGATATATGTACAGAAATATGGTCACTAAATCTACAATTTATAAACCCCATTGGTCAAGGAACCTGCACACACAGTTTTCAGCTTTTATAAGCTTTTAGTTCTGGAGAAGAAGATGAAAATGCAAAACATTTACGGATGGACAGATGGACGCCGGATGCCTTGCCATGCCATGCTATAAGTCCATTCGGCCTTTCAGGCCTGATGAGGTAAAAATGTGAGAAAATGTTTCTTTACAGATACCCATCCAAAGTCGCTAAGCAATGGTATGTCTGAAAACAATACTTGTTAACTTGCCTCCCAGAAATACTGATTCCACTATTTCTCCATTGGCGAATGGCACATACTCTTCGGTGAGATCAGTCAAGAGCTTTATGACATCCTGTGTCTTGTTTTCATTACAGTCAAAAAGCCCAAGTGGATACTGAAAGACAGAAATAAAAAACATTAATATTATTCAAATGAATTGGAATCAAGAGTATACTATTATTACATTTTCACTGTAAAACAAATACATCACAGCACAGCCTTGATATGATCCCCTTTGACTTCACCAGCAGGGAATAACAACATGATACAGGGGTGATCAAACATTTCAGCTGTAAATTTAATGAAATAACGAATCAGCTCATAATTTAGTCAAGATGGATAATTGTTTTGTCCCAAAGGTCACTAAACACAGACTAAATATTATTTGGTAAATATATATAGCGTTACATGTTTATTGACCTGGCTTGTCTTGATTCCTGCTAGGTGACTGTACTCATGTGATAGATGCTGAGGGAAGATTTTTCCAAACCTGCTGTTCAGCTCAGGATGATTAGCAATGACTGATGTTGAAAACAGGAATGTCATCTCTCTCAGAAACAAAGCCTGCTCTTCCTTTGATGGTATAAAGGTCAAACAGTCCAAATCAGGCACATCTATAACTTTTGTATAGGATGTAGATGGCTGTGGGCAGATTCTGTCAACAATGGCATACATGTTAAACAGATGAAGTGATACAGTTTTCCTGTAGGATGGCAGAATGTTTTTATCCCAATTGTCACCAATCAGTTGATACTTCTTCTGTTCTCCAGCAGCCCATTCATTCTTTATCTCCTTGATCTCTGAGCTAAGCTCACTTTCCCAAGAAAGCAGCTTCTGATGTAATGTAACTGGATGCATAGTGAATCCTATCTGTGACAGCCTCTGAATATCCTTGAAAGAGAAATACATTTGATTAGGTATGTAACTAAAAATGGACTAAATAATTTAGTTGTGTGATGTACTACAACCACTACTTCAGAAATAAATGAAACAATTTACATGGAATCATTGAATCCTATGTAAGTGCTGGAAGTGAGTAATCTGTGATGGTGTTGTCAGTCTGTCATAACAATTGCTGCCATAATTATAAACATTTTACATATCATTAGCAAATATTCAAAAAGTACCCTCTGAGTACAACCACCATGGGTGAGAAGAAAGCCTGATGTGTACTGGAGGGCTGACATGTCTTGGGATCGACCATGAAGACCAACTGTTGCCGTCATCAACATGTGGCGGAATGCCTTGCTGGTTGCTTGTATTGGCACATCACTCACAATTGCTGACAAAATGGAACAAAGTCCTGGGCACCTGGCTGTAAGTTCATGGTAAAACTTTTCCCATGTGAAATACATAATGAGTTTTCGGCATTAGAAGTGACAGAGCTCTTTTTGCATAAGGTTCTGCACTCATCTGCAACCACTTTGGTGGAGGTTTTAATGACATCCATTGGTTTTGAAACAGTTATGTGGTCTAAAACAACCTTATTGAAGTCAGATCCTCTAACAATGGTCCTGCAGGCTTTTTTCTGCCCTTCTTCCTCAACAGTCTTTGTTTTTGCACCGTTCTGGTAGAAGATTGTGACCTAAGAAAAACAAAATGTTATCACAAATCATTCTCTATTGCATTAGTGAGTTAATGTTTAATGTCACACCGGCAATTTTTCAGCCATGTCATTACGAGAACAAATTGGACATTTATAAACAATATGTATATATTATAAAACCTGTCATCAAGGGACAGTAAAACAACTAGACTGTCACAGTGAGAATTAAAACTAGCACATACAGTTGAAACTAATAGCATTATTTGGACAATACATAATAAAAAAAACAGGCTATAGATCGCCAACAACTGAAGGTATATCACCATACTAGGGACCATGGAGACTTACAGTACTTTTGCTACCTGCATGGACCCTAGCTGCATTTATATCATCCCTTCAGCCGCTGGCGATTTTTGTAGAATTTAGCCATGAATTCAAATCACAAAAATACTACGTTTAAAGAATCTGGTAAGTTGAAATGTACTTTGAAAGTTTTGGGACTTACGTACCATCTCAGGAGGACAATAATTTTACAATACTTTAACCCCCTTTGAGGGCTCTATTGCATTAACTACTGTCAAATTACAGTCTGTTTGAGTCAGAAACGGACCGATGAATTGCAAATTTTATCATTGTACAAAATTGCCACGTAAATATAAATA